ACGATATTTCCTGTCTTTAAAACGACACTTTCAGTGCCCGTCGAAAACAAAACAGAAATAAACCCTTTTTCTTCCTTTTTTTTTTTTTTTTTTAAAAAAAACGAAATAACAATGAAACGAAAATAATAAAATAAAAATTATTTTTATTATTTATTTAGTTTTTTCCTTTCTCTCTCTCTCTCCCCCTTTCCCTCTCTCTTTTTTTTTCATTCAAGTAAAATTTTTTTTTTTTATCACGATGAAATTAAGATACATTTTGAATCCTAGATCAACAAATCATTCACCATTGTCTAGAGACAGAGAAATAAAAAAAAAAAAAAAAGATGAGAAAGAAGAGAGAGATAGAAAAAAAAAAAGGAGAATAATTTATGTATTTTTGCATTCCGCCTTAAAAAAAAAAAAAAAAGGGTAGAAGCAAAAGCAAAAATGAAAATGAAAGATGGGTGAAAAGATATATGGATGGAAGAACAAATTTAACACTGAAAAAGGAACATAAATATGCCAAGAACCAAGAGATGAAAACTTGAAATCAGGCAATTTGTATGACCTACTCATTTTTGAATCTCTAATAATAAGAATGTCTTTCCTTTTTTCCTTTTTTTTTTAGAATGAAAAACTCTCACATTTCTAACTTTCGACCATTATAATTGATTTACTTTCTTATACGAAAAATAATAATAATAATAATAATAATAAATTATGACATTTATACTTTTTTTTCTCTTTCATTCTTTTTTTTTTTTTTTAATAAATTTTACTACCTTTTGTTGTTGTTGTTGTTGTTGTTGGAGTCATTTTTTTTTCCCTTTTCTCTTCTTTCTCTTTCTCTTTTTTTTTTTTTTACATTGGGGGCGGTGATGGTGGTAGAGAAGATTAAAATTATTTCCTACAAAAAATATATATATAATTGTTTTAAATTATATCTAAAAAATTTGTTTAAATTTTATTATTTTCTTTCATGTTTTTTTTTTTTTTTTTTGAAACTGACATACGATTTAATTTATTTCATTTTTTTTTTTCTTTCGTTTAAAATGTAGGATTATAAAACTCATTTGCCTATTTCATATTTTTTTTTTTTTTTATGTTTAATAAATATTATGCAAATTAAAATTGTTTATAACCTAAATTATCAAATCTAAAAATAAATTTTAAATGATTTCGTTTATCATTAATATGAATTATATCAAGATGTTCGATTTAAATTTTAGCGAGAAACAAAACAAAAAAGTTTTCGAGTTTTCTGGTTTTTTATTTAAATCATTTTATTATTATGTACCTGAATAAACTTTGATTGATAAGGTATTTTTAAAGCACATTTTAAAAGTAAATTTTAAAAAATTTGTTTTCTTTTTCCATGGTAAAAAAAAATTTAAAGCAGTCACCATCACATATCCGATAAAATCGAAAAAGAACTTTTTTAATAACTTGTATCCTCTTATATAGTGATACAATAAGATTTATAAGAACAACAATAAATTGTTTCTTTAGAAAATAAATAAGGAAAAAGATTTAAATAAATCTTTTGATTTGTTTAAAATAATGACACCAACAACAATTTTTCAATTTAAAATAAAAGTAAGTCGATAAAATCCTCAACCGATTGATTTGTTAATAACATTGAAACACTTAATAGACAATTTAAGAAATTAAAACCTTTCCAAAAAATGAATAAAATTAAGGTAAAATTAAAATACAAATTATTTGTATTAAAACAATTTAAAATTATAATATTTTAATTAAAAATTTTTAGCCAATATTCCATCTCTTTTAGCTAACCTAGCAATACAATCATCAGATTCTCCCATTCTTCTGATTGCTCCACAAATAGCATACATTTTAGTCGAATCTGTCATTCTGCCAGTTTGTGGATCGACTTCAGCTATTTGTAGTTGAATCGATGCATGATCTTTAGCGTGAATAATTCTGTTGCTAGCAGAGCTAAAAAAAAAAAATTTTAATAACTTTCAACTAAAAACTTTAACCGAAAACAAACTACACTAATTTAAAATTTATTAAAACTATTTGTTCATGTGTATTTAAAAAAAAAAAATAAAATGAAGCATTTTACACGTAATGAAGAACCTAACCACGCGGACATGAACAATGCCATCTGGCTTCTCTTAAAATTATCTCTTACCATTTACGCGGCCTGTACAAATCAACTAATTCCCCGGCGTCGTTTTCCATATTAAATGATTTGTATTTTAATAAAATACACAGAGTATGAGAAAAACACGAGAAATTCTATGTGGCAATTACAATTGCTATGAAATATGAGGAAATATTAAGAGAAACGGAAGTCGTAGAATCAGACAATGTCTGATGCCACTTCAAAATCCAAACAAAAATCAATTCAATTTAAAACTTGTAACGGTCAACCTGTGGATTCTATTAAAATAATACATTCGTAAATATTATAATCGTTTTATATTTAAATAATATTTAATTAAAAAAATGAACAATTTTCAAACTCCTTTAAAAAGTAATCGTCAAGACACGCCTAGAAAGCTTTTATCGATTCCTCCATCTCCATTTTTAGAAAAGTTGGGTTATGGTACAGGTAATAATTAATTTATTAAACATGGTTTGTCATACTACATTTATGATTTTTATTTAACGAATTATTGTAAATGATTCTACTAAATTTTTTTTTATCCTATAAAGGAGTTAACGTTTGGAAGTTAAGTCATTCTCCTAACAGTGTCAAATCTCCATGGGCCATTAAAAATGTTAGAAAATGTGTAAATAAAGAATTATCTGATAAATATCAATCACTTCTTACTAAGGAAGCAAATATATTAAGATCATTGGATCATGAAAACATAATTGGTTTTAGAGGATATTTAAAATCAGAAGATGGAAGAAATTGTTTAGCCATGGAAGTCGGTGGAGAGAGTTTAGGAGATTTATTAGAAAAAAGATTTGAAAATGATTTGGGTCCATTTCCACCTGACATAATTATTAAAGTTGCTTACAGCATAGCGAAAGCATTAAATTATTTACATAATGAAAAAAATATACTTCATGGTGACATAAAACCATATAATGTGGTTATTAAAAATAATTTTGAAGATATTAAACTCTGCGATTTTGGAGTTTCCATTAAATTAAATGATGAAAATATAACAGAAAAATATGTTGGTACTCCCATATACAGTGCACCCGAATGCATCAAAGGTGATAAAAAAACGATAACAGAGAAATCGGATATATTTTCATTCGGTTTGATTTTATGGGAAATGATTGCATTATTTCCACCACACACAGAAGGTAATTTTTACAAAGTAAAAAAACATTCATGCTTTAAAAATGATTACTGACTTATATTAATTTTTTTCTTTCCAGATCTCATTAATAAAAATGAATCTGCTCTTAATTCTGATGATTCTTTATACACACATGTAAGCGATAGCGAAATTGAAGAAAATTATGGTACTCGTCCTTTATTGCCACCTTGTGAACTAGGATCAGAGTATAAATATGTTTTGGAATTATTTTATGCATGTACAGAACAAGATCCCGATAAGAGACCTTCTGCATCATCCATAATTGATTACATAAATATGATAAACAAAACTAATACATAAAAATAAATGTAGTAGGGTATTACGTTTACATAATGTTTTTGTTATTATTATTATCATTAATTATTTTCATTTGTTTTTCGATAAATAATTTAAAATAAAAAAAGAATAAAACTGCATTACGATTAATTATTATTTTTTCAATATCATTTCTTTATTATTTTCAATAATAATTTTAATAAATTTTTACTTGTAAAATATTATTATTAATGTAAAAATTAAAAAAAATTTGTTATATTTAATAACTGTTAATAAATAAAAAAATATTTAAAAAATTTTTTTAAAGTTTGATTTTGGGGGGGAAAAACGTAAGACCCAAAACTGTTAACATAAAATCAAGTATAGGTAAGCATACCGATTGTTCTTTTCCGTTAAATTCAAATTTACTTCGTTCAAGTTCAAATCGACAAACGACGACTCGTTGTTGTTGTTGTTGGTTTCGTTTGTCGGACAAACAAACAAACACTTTTCTAATATTATATCATTAATTAATTATTTAAACCAACATGAGAAGAAATAAAACGATTAATATAATCACTCCGCATATTATACCCGTCATTACTTTTCTCTAAAACAAAAGAGTGGAAGAAACGATTATGACGTCATAGGATAAAAGTTTTTAAAAAAGGCCCTTTATCGCGTAAAAACTCACATAACGAATTTTAGATTTTTTCTTATTGGCCGATATAATTTTTTTCCTTCCTTTTTCCACCTTATGTAAATTAACATCGACGGAATGTTCGATTTGTTGTATTTTTTCCTGTTGCAAATCAACAATAAATGATAATTCGTTAAATAAATTTCTAATTTCCATAATTGATTTTTCTATTTTCAATATATTTTCGCACGTTTCTTCCGCATCTCTTAATTTATATTTTTCTTCCACGTCGTTTATCAACAACTGAAACCGGTCATTTTGTTTATAACGTTTTATCAACAATTAAATAATAACAATAATAAACAACGATAAATATTATTTTTGTTTACGTTGTTGGTAAATATGGCGATTTTTCCTTCTTCAACGAGTTCGTTTATATCCGAATCCACATCGCCTTTGACTAAAAACAAAAACAAAAATAAAAAAATAAAAATGGCGTCCCAAGTCAACCATTTTTTTTTTTACTTTTTATTTTACCTTTTATCATGTCGTTAAATATTTTAAACGATTTTTCTCTTTGTTTCATTAAACAATTTAAATAATCTTTTAATATATCATTTAATTCGTTTAATATTGAATTTAATTGTACTTCTTTTATTCTTAAAAATATATATTTTTTTTCATAATCGTTTGAATTATTTTTCATTTCTGTAATAAATAATTAATTGTTTGTTGTGTTGTTTGTACGTTTGTTTGTTTTCGTTTGTTAATAAATAATTTCATTTTAAACTCACGCATTAAATTACATCGGATTGTTTTAGCTTTTGTACCGATTTTTAATTTTTCTTCTTCTATTTTTTCTTCTAATTCTTTTCCTAAAAATAAATTATAAATAATTTTTATTATTTATTACTTACAAACATTTTTCATATAAATTTCTTTTTTCAAAACAAACAAACAAACAAACAAACGGGAAAAACAAAAAAAAATGAAATTTACTCGTCGTTCCATCATTTATCCATTGGCTGTTATCATTTAAAATTATTTTGAGGTCGTTGACACGTTTTTTTAAATTTGATAAATCAATTTTTATTACTCGTACCTGAAATAAGAAAAAACGATGATGATGATGATGATAATAATAAATTACATAATGAAATTATACTTTCAGGTAAGGTATAAGTGGGGAGGAAGTAAGAAATTTTGAATTTTCATAGAAAATAAAAACTTACATTTTCGAAAAATTTAACGAGAGGCGTAGGAGTTGATTTTTCATTCGAAAAATTTTCCATCAAATTTTCATCATTTCCGGAAACCTAAAATAATTTTTTTTATGATGACGTCAAACCAAAACAAACAAAACAAAAACAAAATAAATAAATATAAATAATTACTTTCATTAATTTTTGCATTTCTTCCAGTCTGTCTTTCGTCGTCATTTTTTTTTTTTAAATTTTTCTCGCGTTATAAACAAAACAAAACAAAAAAGCGCGGGAAATTTAAAAAACTATTTTATCCAGATAAACCGAAAAATGAAAAAAAATAAAAACAAAAATTTCAAACGATAAAAAATAAAAATAAATAAAAACTTGCTATGAAATGTCGTCGTCACGCGTTATATAGAACGTTGAACACACATTAACGCCGCCATAATCGTGATTATTATTATTATTATTATTATTATTATTATTATTATTATTATTATTAAGTTCGTTCACGTTCTTTTTATTTATTCCTTTTCTCCTTCTAATTTTTCATTTATCCAAATGTCTAAATTATTAAATAATGTTTTTCTTTTCTATTGTCATCGAATTATTCATTAACGACAGAATTTTCAAAAAAAAAAATGTCTTCCTTCCTTCCTTTCTTTCTTTTTCCTCCAGTTCCTCTTCCTTCTATTCCCTGATTTCCTTGATTTCACCGTAAAACTCTCCCCCCCACAAAAAAAAAAAAACACTACAAACAATTTTTTTAAACCAAATTCCACACGTGAAATTAAAATTGATAAAATAAAAACTTTATCGAAATCGATCAAATAAAATATCGATCGAGATAAATAAATTAACGTTGATCGATTATCGATTATCGTTAGTTTGCAAAGATGAAAATTTTATTTCACATAAAAATTAATCGATTTATTATTATTATTATTTTCTCACTATTCGATTTACTTTTGATTATTTATTTATTTAATGATAACAATTTGCTGTCGATCGATTATGATGACGTCAGTAAAACAAAATTTTTTTTTAATGACACATATAAAAAAGACCAACTCATCGTTAAAAAAAACATGATGATAACAAACAAACAAACAAACAAAATTAAAATTAAATTTTTTTTATTATTATTATTTTAATTAAAAAATAAAAATTAACAATATGTATATACTCGTGATACTCGGTTACTACAAACAAACAAACAAGGAAAAAAAGTAATAAAAAGATCAAATGTCTAAAACAAACAAACAAAAATGAAAATGATTGTTTTTACTTTTTATTATTTTCTCTTGTTTGTTTTGTGTGAAATAAAAAATTATTATCATTATTTATTTATTTATTTATTTTCTCCTTTTTGAAAAATAATAAATTTATTATTATTATTATTATTATTAAAAAATAAATAAATAAATACATCAATAAACTATATTTATAGCGTTTATAATAATAATAATGCTATATTGTCATAGATTTTCTATCCTTTAAAAAAAAAAAATTTCTCGAATGCTTTGGTTGTTTTCTTTCCTTTTTCTCCCCCCCCCCTCCTCCCCCTCCTCCCCTCCCCACCCTCTTCTTTCTTTTTTTTTCTAAAGTGATAACAGACTAGATATAACTTTCTGATAACATATTTATATATATATTTTACATTTATTATTATTATTATTATTATTTAATTATTTATAGAGAAAAATTCTATATAAAATAATAAAAGAAAAACAAACAATTTCTTCTAACGATAAAAAAAAATTTTTTTTTTTTTTCGTCTAATGCCACGTTTATTGTCACGTTCGATTTAATTTACACGGTTTTAAACTTTTTAATAAAGCAACAACGGGTACAATAATAACAATAACAACAAGAAAACAAAAAACAATTTAAATAATAATAATACTTATTATTATTGTTATAAATTTCCTTTTATTGAATTCCTTTGACTCAATTAAAAAAATTTAAATTTTTTTTTTTTGTTTTTTGTTTGACGTCATCGTTTTCTCATTTTCGTTACGTTCATTCTTTTTAAGGCGCGGGTAAAAAAAAATGAATGATTGAATGATTGTTTTGACTGAATGACTGACTAGCTTCGCATCACTTGGGTAAAAAATTTTCCTTTTTTTCTTTTCTTTTCTTTTCTTTTCATTATCATTTTGATTTGATTCCTCCGTTTCCGATTGGTATTATTGGAACTCCGTTTACGATACCGTTTATCGTTCCCATTCCGGCTTTGACTTTAACGTTGATTGTTTTTAAATATTCGATAACGTTTGTTTTTTTGGCTTGTATTGCTACTTGCAAAGGCGTCATGCCTTCTTGATTGCACAACGTTGCATCGGCTCCGGCTTCTATTAATTGTCTCACGACGACAACGTGACCGAAAAGTGCTGCTGCGTGAAGAGCACTTTCTCCGTTCTGGAAAAAAAAGCACACGAAAAAAAGAAAACAATCAGTCAATCAATCAATCAATCAATCAATCATCTTTTTATCGTTTTTTGCCCCGTCGTCACGGGGTATAAAAAATAATACTCACTGGTAATAAATCTAATGATGGTTTGTACTTGAGAAGTTCGCTTATGACTAATGAGTGACCCTTGTGAGCCGCTTTGAAAAGAGGAGTCGCTCCATCCTGAGAACAACAAAAAGAGTCAAAAAATGTTTTTAACGTTTCCTTTTAATAAATTTTTTTTATTTTTGACATTCGACATACGTGTCGCGTCGCATCGACTCGAACTCCGTGAAGAAGCAATTCTTTCACTATTTGATGATGACCCATTTGCGACGCGATCCACAGCGGGGTCGCACCATCCGTTCTTCTCGGATCTGGTTCCGCACCTTGCGAGAGAAGAAACAATAATATTTGGTAATGTCCATTTTGAGCTGCTATGAACAGGGGCGTAGCTCTATCCTGTAACGAAAACAAAAGAATTTATTTAATGCCGCAAAATAAACGAGCGTGAAAAGTCGTTTGTTTGTTTGTTTGTTTGTTGCTCTCTCACCTTCATGTGTATGTTTACGTTGGCTCCTCTCTTAACGAGTTCTTTTGCAACACCTTTGTGGCCGCATTGACAAGCGACAAAAAGCGGAGTTCCGCCGTCCTGGAAACAATATTTTTTTATAATAATAATAATAATTTTCATTGTTTTTATGTTTTTCTTATCTAAAATCATTGGTCGGGTGTATGAGGACGGCGATGACGTAACAAAAATTCAATTTTTAAAAAAAATAGAAATACTCACAATGCTGCAAGAATCGACCGGAGCCCCATTGTCGAGCAATATGTTAACAATATCTAAGTAACCGGCTTGAGCAGCGAAGAACAAAGCCGTGGTACCGGTCTAAAACAAAAAAAAAAAAAATTAATTAGGTCATAGATTAACCGAAGCGAAAAGTGCCGCCATACAGTTCAAATCTTACCCTAACGGAATGCAAAAAAAAAAAAGTGCGAGAGTGACGTCATTTTAATCGGGGAGCCCCATAAAAATGATAAACAAAACAGTCGCCAAAACAACAAAAAAAAAAACATGATGTCTATATCACGTGACTACTCCTCGTAGAAATTTAAATTTAAATAATTTCTTACGTACCAAACGTTTTTTACTCGGATCCGCTCCTTGTTCCAACAATTCCAAAACGCAATCGGCGTGACCATTGGCAGCAGATAAAATTAAAGGAGTCGTACCGTCCTGGAAAAAAAAAAAAAAAAAAAAAAAACGAATGAAAGAGTTTCTAGAAGCTTCTCGAAAACACAGAGTATCTCTGCGTCCAAGAGTTTGCGTCTATGGTTTCATTGTTACGCTTTTGTTTACAAACAAAAAATATGAACGTTAAATATGGAATCGTGACAACGTATTTAAAACAAATTCGAAAAATGAATTTAATAATAAAAATGAAAATTTGATCAACAACAACAAAAACAACAACTTGTTGAATTTGCCTCGAAGGAACGAAAGGCGGTTTTGTCGTGAAGATCAAGGCTGACGGCGAAATATCGCAAGTTTTTTTCAAACGAAAGTAATTTTAATAATAAGAACGACCTTACGCAAGTAAATGCCTTCGAAGTTAAAAACCTTAAACAACAAACGACAAAGGAAAAAATAATAAAGAACCCCAGAGATTGTTTTATTCTCACGCGTAATTTTTATCCGGGCACAAAACCAATTATTTTCTGGCACCCCTTCGATACATATTGCACCCACCGATACAAAATTTTAATTGTCTTTCTTTCTACAATTCCCCCCTCCCCTCCCCCTCCCCCTCCTTCCAGTCTATCGATTCCGCATTTTTAAATACAAAACTAGTTTTTTTTAATGGTTAACCTCGTTGCTGGCAAACCCTCTTCTTCTCCTTCTTCTCCACCTTCCACCACCACCATCACAATCACTTTAACTTCCAACACGTAAACACACCCGTATCGTATGAACAAAAAAAAATTTTTTCTCCATATTTTTAATTCTTAATCCGTATTAAAAAAAAAAATTAAAACGTGACGGAATTACGGCCGAGTCTTCCGCCATATTTAGAATAAATAAACATGACAAAAACACTTAATTAATTTCCAAAGAGACTATCGACAACATATATCGATTTTTCGATTGTTAAAAATTGAAAAAAAATATTTTTAAGGATTGTCAATTCGATGATGATGATGAAGAAGACTGGAGAAGACTGGAGAAGAAGTTAACTACTCTTGTATTGTTATTATTATTATTGTTATTTACATAATCGTTTACTCTCCAGAATTCAAATCGATTGAATACAACCTGTCAACTACATCGGTAACGTAAACATCAATTATAACAAGGTAACGTTTCAAGTGCAGGTGCGTGTGCGTGTGTGTGTGTGTGCGTGGACAATTGTACAAAGTCGTACAATAAATAAATTACACGAGGAAAGAGTGAAAGTCAAAATCGTTTGTCTTTATCGACATGATGAGCCCACCGGTGAAAATTAAACGTTTGCCAAACAAAATGCCGCCAACATAACAATAATATTATTGTTTTACCAACATTTCAAAAATTATTTTCAAGGGGAGCGAACTCTTGAGTTCCCGTCATTTTAATAAACTAAAAGGAATCCATAAACTTTTCGAACAAACTTTTTAACAAGACCTAACACAAAACATTATAAAGAAAAACAAAATGAATTTCCCCCTCCCTCCCTCCCTCCCCAACTTATTTGTTTGTATTAAAAATTTCATTTTTTTTTTTTTTTTCCGTTCGTTACTACTCGCTTGACAACATTTTACATTCACTGACATTATCAGTATCATCATCATCATCATCATCATTTTTACTTTCTTCGTTGATTTTTTTTCCTTCCGATTTTCACGTTAAAATCCAAAGACCAAGAAGATGGTTTCTTGTTGAATGTTAAATTACTCAGGTACGACTTGATTTGATAAAAATAAATTTTTCATCCGCTTCCACGATCGTCTTCTTCTTTTTTTTTCTCCTTTTAAAAATAAAAACACGTGGGTCGTACCCACGTTAATAAGGAGCTTGATGATACCTTTCGGAGAAAAATTACCGAGTAGGAGTAGAGTATCTTTGCGTTTAAGATAAAGAAAATTAATTTTCTTTTTTTTTTCTCCACATAGATTCATTTCGACGAATAATCGATCCGAAACCTAATCCGACCAGGTTGACAATAATTACGACATTTCTGTCTTCTTAAAATCGCTTCTCAACCGTCTTCCGGCAGCCATTTTTTTCCGGTTTAAAATAATATCCTGCCCAATTTAATACCATCCGATGACGGTAGCTAAAGTCACGGTTGTCTTTCAAGTTCTTTCTCTTACAATGTACCAGATGACGAATCGAAATACCGTAAAAAAAAAAAAAAAAAATGTCTTCCGCATCGTATGCTCCTCGCGACATGCGTTTAACGTGTGAAGAAAAAACTCCTGAAAATCCCAATCCCACGTGGTTAACAATTAATGGGTCACCGAATTGCAAGGCGTGCACCCTCCAGACGTTCGAGGCCATTTATCGCGTTTGGGAATAGAATTCGAAAAAAAAGTGTCATGAAATCAATCAAGTTGTTTGCAACAGATGTTTACACTCGATATTTAAATCAAATGATAATGATGATGATTACAATTTAAGTATTTTTAACAATAATTCACGTGCATAAAGTTCGTCAAAAAAATTCCACGTGGTTTTATTAGTTATTATTATTATTACGATACACTTTCAAACCCAATTAGTCAATTTTTAGAGAAATCGGGATTCGATTAAAATCACGATAAAATCCATATTAAGAATAATAAAACGGTAATAAAAGAAAAATCGTGATCATGATGATGATGATGATGATAACGAGGTAAATTTTTTCTTTTTTCCCCCCCCCCCTAAGAAGAATCGAACGGAAATTTTAATTGCGTTTAATTTTTGTGTATAAGAAAAAGTAAAATTTTTAAGTGAAATCGCGACAAATTGTGGTCGCCATTTTTGGGAAAAAAAAAAAAAAATTTTTTTTTTTTAAACCCAATTTTCAAGCAAATTAATCATTTAGCGATATTTCTTTTTTTTTTTTTTATTCCTTTTTAAATACAAACAGAAAAAGACAGACTGAAAGGAGAAAGAAAGAGAGAAATAAAGAAAGAAAAAATTACAAAATGTGGAGAATGTACTGGAAAAATTACTTCAGAGAATTTTGTAACAAAAAAAAAAAAAAAAGAAGATTGACTAAAAACGTTACGAAATTTTTTTTTTTTTTTCCTATCTCTTTCTCTCTCCTCTCTCTCCCCCCTCTCTCTCTCTCTCTTTTTAGCTACGAAAGACAAAAATAAAATTAAACGTTACTTTTACTCGAAATAATCCGTCTATATTAATAATAATAATAATAATAATAAAAACTAATCGACCGCCGTTCGCGTTTGTTCTCTCTTATTTTATATTTATTTATTTATTTATATATTTTTACTTAACGCATCGCAAGTCAACTCTTCAACCCATTAATATTTATTATTATTATCATTATTATTATTATTATTATTAATAAATAAGTAAAGTTTTTTTTAAATAATAACCGGTTTTTAAATTGAAAATTGAAAATTTCTCAACAAGACATACATACACAAAATGTAAACGAATTTTTTTCCTTTTTTTTTTTTTTTTTTGACTTCACTGAAATGAAAACTCGAATTGAATTTCAACCTATTGGATTTCAATTAAAAATAATAATAATAATGATAATAATCGTAAAATGATGATGATATCGAAAAAAATGGCGCGAAACTTACACCGCGGAGTTATATACAATGAGATTTGCAACAAAATTTGAACCTTTTCCATTCTTTCCCGCCTTTTATTTTATTCGTAGCAGACGATAATATATAAAACTAAATCGTGACGAAATTAATTTGAAATGGTTGACCCATTGAAAATTGTTATAAAAATACAAAGAGTTAACGAGAGGAAAAAAAAACAAAAACAAAAACAAAAAACTTTCACCGATTAAAGTAATTTTATGGTCGAATTATCCCTGGCATTTATTACCCACATACCCAACCTCATCCATTTAAATTAAATATAACGACGATAAAACCTTACAACGACAGCACCACCGATCCTTTTTTCTTAAATTTAAGTAATTTGATCGAAAAAAAAAAAAAAAAAACTTATTGATATTGTCGTCTCTGTTTGTTGCCTCTCGGTTTGCCTCTCTCCCTCTCTCTCTCTCTCTCTCACTCAATCAATCAATCAATCAATAAATTTCAATTTGTTTATTATAAAAATTATTAATTAAACTTACCTTATCCTTACAATCGACGTGAACTTTTCCACTGTCTAAAACTTTTCTCAAAAGGCTGATTTTTCCATTGAAAGCAGCGTAATGTAATTGAGCATCAGATGGAGTTTCTTTCTGCGAAATAATAATAATAAAAAAATGTCTTAATCCATTTTCAAACGATTTCATAAATCAAAATAAACTATTTAAAAGAAACGAAATTTTTTGTTGTTGTTGTTGTAATAATTGGATAATTGCCCTTAATATGCTAATAATAACAACTCTTTTTTTCTTATTCTCTCTCTGTCTCTCTCTCTCTCTCTCTCTCTCGGTAATAATCTCCATCTTTTTCTCTCGGAAACAACAACAAAAATTGTTTTTTTTATTTTGTCTTGAGGCAAATCGTAATGGAAACCTTTTGCGTATCGAAATCATCAACAATAATCCAGTTTAACGTGCATATGAAAAATATGCAATCCCGTATTTATTATTTAAGAGGATTACCTTCGAAACCGTTTTTTTTAAATTCGAAAACTTCCAAGTGATTCGAAAACGATTTCGAGCTTTTTTTTTTTTTTTAAATAATAATAATAATAAATGAAACAACGAAAACGACAACGACAACAAGGGCGTACGTAAGAAAGAGTCGCCCTTCAAACTACCCACCGAAACCGACCCTGAACATAACCGTAGAAGATGAGGCTCATAAATACATGCCATCGCATACTATGTGATCACACTATGACGATGATGATGATGATTATTATTACGATGACGATGACGATAGTGAGACCCACATGTTATTTTTTTTTTATTATATTTCTATGTGCGGACATGTAAATATTTATAAAAAATATTATTACCGACCGACTTCACGACCGTACCTAACAGTAAAAATCTCATATATATTTTTTTTTTAATTTCGAAGCCGTTATAAATTATTATTATTATTATTATTATTACATTAATGGCAATGGAATAAAAAAAAAAAAAAATAGAAAAATTCCGCATTAAAAGACAATAACAATAGAAAACGTGAACGGCCTTCGATTAACAATTTCTATTATCGACATAAAACCCAAAAAAAAAAAAGAGAAAAAAATTCAGCGATAATATCGAATCGAATCGAATCGAATCGTATCGAATATAGAAAAAACATTATCCACGTTTTTTTTGAAACGGAAAATTTTTTTCTATTTTTTTCTTTTCTTATTATTTCGGTCAAGGAAACAATGAAAAACCTAATATTGACCGATCGATCAATCGAAAAAAATTGTAATAATATTAATTTCAACGATGAAATCCCTTTTATTATTATTATTATTATTATTATTATTATTATTATTATTAGTATTAGTATTATTATTATTAGTATTAGTATTAGTATTATTATTATCAGAATCGGAAAAATTATTTTAAAAACTAACCCGACGTTCTCTTAACAAATATTCTTTCAGACTTTTGGCATGAGATTTTTATCACAAAATATATGCAATAATTTATTATTATTATTATTATTATTATTATTATTATTATTATTATTATTTATTTCTGGAATGATTTCTAACCTATTGCTTAATGGTCGGTTTATGCCAAGAAAAAAAAAAAAATCTTTTTTTTAATGCCAATAAATAAAATTCAAAACTTTATTATTATTATTATTATTATAAAATGTCGTTATTCAAGCGACAAAATTTTTTCGCTCTTTTTCTTTACCCAACGTATCGTTATTTTTCTTCTTCTTCTTCTTTCCTTTACGCTTGTGCGTTTAAATTAAAAACTTTGAACAATTTATTAATAGCAGAAAAAAAAGAATTTTTCTTTAGAGAGAGACAGAGAGAGAGAGAAAATAAATTCCATTGTTTATTTCGTTTTACAATTTTTTTTTTTTTTTTAATTTAAAAAATTATTTACAGGTGTGTTTTTTTTTTTTTTTTTCAAAAAGTAATTGATTCGATTACGTAATTTCAACCTTCCCCACCCCCTCCCCCTCCTTACCCCATTCCCTTCGCACGTGTAAATCCCAACCGAAATTTCATAATTTCATAATTTTTTTTTATTGACCCGTTCTTTACTCGGTTTACATAAAAAAAAAAAAAAAAAAAAAAAAAATGAAAGAAAACGAAAAACCTAAATAAAAATAATAATAATAATATTCGAATTAGACGTGATTAAAAATTACTTTTCATTATTATTATTATTATTGATGTTTTCTTTTTTTTTTTACGAAATGCAATTATTAGTATTATTATTATTATTATTACCTTTTCCTCTTTTACCTCCATGATGATTAATCCGAAATGAGGAAAAAAGAAAAAAAAAAAAATTACTTTCGTGCACGAAAACACTCACGTCCTCGTGCACATACACACTCATTCACTTACACACACAAACTATCGAAAAACTGAACTGATACCAATTTTATCCAGCACATAAAATTCCAAAAAAAAAATTCCGAGAGAGCAACACCGACACGGACGAGATGTAAACAAAAACTGGAAGCGAAAAAAACATTAATCGAGAGTTTACTAGGTACGAACGACAATCAAGGTCGTCTCTATTGCTACAACTCTTTTGGGAACACAACCTGGCGCCGTAACAACAGGTTATAAAGTGTAATCCAAGATTTTTTCGCTTGGGTAATTTCAATCTAAACTCAAACCCGATAGGTCAAAAGGTTAAAAAGCAGCAAGACACAAACTCGCCGTGCCGTGCCGTAGGATGATCGTTTCATGGTCGTTTTCGTCGCGTATTTCTAAAAGAGAGAGAAAGAGAGAGAGAAAAAAGTGAATGCCGATTTGAAAACCAAGGAAAACCGCAAGTGCTAGTGGACGCCACCGACCGACACAACAACACCACCACCAATACCACCATTAATAATCGAAAAAAGAAAAGAAATGAAAATAATAATAATAATAATAACAGTAATTTTTCCATAATGTGCATACCTTTCATGATTGACTGGGTTTACCATTGAGTGATTTGATTGGTCGAATTGTTGTTGCCACAAAAGAGAAAAAAGAAAAAGAAAAAATTCAAGCATGAGAACGTTAAAAAAAAAAAAATTGAAAGTGTAAATTTTTCATTTTTATTTTAACCCAATTAATTATTTATCGAAAAGTGAAAATAATTTCTCATTCGGAAATAATAATAATAATAATAATAATAATAATAATAATAATAATAATAATAACAATAATAATAATAATACTTCGATATAAATTAAATGAAATAAAAATTATTTTCGAATATATAAAAACTTTTCAAATTCAAACTTGATTCGCGCCAACAGTTTTCGACGACGACGTGTAATTAGTCAAAATCTTCTCGTATACGAGTGAGACTTCTTACATCCTTTTCTGGCAATGCCAGAAGCAAAATGAAAATAAAAATAAAACGGAAACGAAATTACGTAAATAAAAAAAAATTAAGAAATTATGAATTAATCAAAAAGGAGGAAACGTCAGAAGAAAGAGATGAATGATTCTGGAAAGTTTTTGTTGTCTTTCTCACTCTCTCTTTCTCTCTCTATCTCTCTTTTTCTTTCTACGTGCACGTTTCTTTCGGTGGCACAAATTATAAAACAATTATTAACCGCTTTGTTAATTTTACGTGTTCATTTTTTTTTTTTTTTTGTATTCGTGTGAATTTTTTTTCCCACCCGTAGACGTAGGAAAAAAAAAATCGTTTTCCCCCTTCGTTCCTCCTCCTCCTCCTCCTTCTCTCCTTCTCCTTCCCAAAATATTCATTCCCTTTCTCGTACATTTAAAAATAAAAAAAATTTCTTTTTTGATTTTCACTAGGAGGTCTCTCTAATCTATTGATTCGTTATTTATTGCCTAATGAGACAAAAATTATTTATGTAATCGTTTTGGATTATTATGAATTATTATTATTATTATTATCGTTGGCCCGTTTTACCTTTTTCTCCGTAAAATTTTTTTTCATATTTTTATACTTCTCACGATCTCCGAATGACTGAATAAAAAAAAAAAAAAATTAAATTTCTCAAACAACAATAAACAAACCGGTTGTTACTCGGTAAAGTTCAAACGTTTTTTCGTTATTAAAGAGGTACGTTCGTTACTCTCTATTCAATACCTCCGACATGTTATAATTATTATTATTTTTCTGTAACTTCGTCATACCGAACAAAAAAAAAAAAAAATTTTTTAACGGTATGTAAATGTTTTGTGTAAACGTTCGTTTACGAAAATACAAAACGAGAGAGAATAAATTAATAATAATAATAATAATAATAATAATAATAATAATAATAATAATAATAATAATAATAATATCTGTATCAACAAAGCATAAAAACACCTTGAATAAAATTATTATCCTTTTGTTTTTATGCACAAAAATATTTTAAAAAAAAAAAAAAACTAATTATCAAAACAATTAAATTCGAATATTTACTGTTTGCCTTCTTACCATCATCATCATCATCATTTTTGCGCTCGCGACTCGATGAATTTTTTCGAAATAAATTCGTAACGCTATCACAACACACGCACACACACACACACACACTCGGCTGACTAATCGTTAAACGTTATCTTCCGTCTTACAAAAAAAAAAAAAAAAAAAAAAAAATTTTAAAGAAAAAATCACGATTTAGCACGCGATATTATTATTATTATTATTACTAATATAATACTTTGCAACAAAACTTGTTTTCATTTTTTTTTTTTAAAGCAAGACCGACCGTCTTGATCGTTTAAGTGAAAGTAAAAAAAAAAAAAAAAAAAAAAAAAACAAAAACTGCTGTTACAAAACATTGAAGAACGATGAAGAAAGTATATAAGCCTGGAAGTTTCGTTAGTTTTGTGTACCGTAAAATTAAAAAAAAACCAGATTAAACGCGATTAATTTCCTGAACGAAAAAAAATAAAAAACCAAAATACTAATGATAATAATAATAATAATGATTAATTAATAAAACAAACGGTTAAATCGCTAAATTTCGTGAAAGTTTTTTATATATATATACTAAAAAAAATTTTCATAAATCGAGTGAGAAAATGTGGATGATCACCTGATACTTTCTAACCTCTTCTTCCTCGACATCATCTTCATCAAAATCCTTTCGGAAAAAAAAGGAGAAAAAAACAAAGGATTCGAATTACTCATTACTACTACCTCTCTCTCTCTCTCTCTCTCGTGTTCCTGATCGTTTTCGTGCA